CATTGCTCTTTGTCTGGCCTTTGGGTGCTTTGGAAAATGGGTTGTCCCACTCCTCTTTGACAGCCTCTCAAATATTGTAGCATTACTATCATATCATCTCTGGTCCTTCTCTTCACTAGACTAGCCATGCCCAGTTCTTGCAACCATTCTTCATATGTCTGAGCCTCCAGGCCCCTTATCATCTTGGTTGCTCTTCTCTGCACTCTTTCTAGAGTCTCAACATCTTTTTTAGGGGGTGGTGACCAGAACTGGAAGCTGCATTCTAGGTGCGGCCTTACTAAGGCTTTATAGAGTGGTACTAGTACCTCTTTATAGAGTGGTACTAGTACCTCTAAGGCTTTATAGAGTGGTACTAGTACCTCACATGATCTTGATTCACTTCAGAGGTGGTATTCGGCAGGTTCTGACCAGTTCTGAAGAACCAGTAGCGGAAATTTTGAGTAGTTCAGAGAACCGGCAAATACCATCTCTGACTGGAGATTTTACAGTATCCTTCTCCTGCCACACCCACCAAGCCATGCCCACAGAACCGGTAGTAAAAAAAATTGAATCCCACCACTGATTCAATTCCTCTAGTAATGCAATTTAGGATTACATTGGCTTTTCTCATCAGCTGGACATTTTGAGATAGAATCTGTAAGCAGTGTTTCTGCTATTAAATTGCTTTAGTAATTTTAAGCTATGCAAACTTCAACTCCCAGAATTCCCCAGCTTAAAGTCCCCAGGTTTGAGAAACATTGATGTATAGTAAATGAAAAAAGCTCTACAACATTCTAAAAATGCCAGCAGATTTGTCATAATTTCCGGGCTCCTGTAATTTAAATATGCTGAATGACAATTGCAAATTCAATAAAATTTCCTTCCCAGCGGAGGTGCTGCCCATCTTGAATTTATGCCTGACATGAAATTGCAGAAAGCATTTAAGCCTGGAGGATACTTCCAATCCTTCTTATCTTTGGTAAAAAAAAAATCCCTAGATGTTTTTAAATCCCTTTACAAATTTGCTCCAGATTTCAATTTCTATTTGTCTTACACAGAGACATATATAATCTGTGCATCTGTAACTATGGGAAAAGAGTAATTGCCATTTTCTGTACAGTTTATTAGTCTTCAAACTTGGCCATGTTGTACAAAACTGGAAACTGGGACACAGAAGCTGCAATATGTAATGCAGCACTGGCATAGATCAGAGAAAATTTTAGCTCCTAGTGATAGGAACAGAAGCAGAGTCCCCCTGGATCATCAAATCCCCTGGTCATCTTTTTTCTACCACAAAGCAAATGCTTTTGGAATGTCCATAAATAGAATGCAGGCTGGAATCTTGTCTGACTTTTGGTCCACAGCATAAAAGCATCATGACGGTATAAAACATATAGCAGAGGCATAATGAGGCATATTATGTTTGCTCCAGAGAGACAAGTTATATATAGAAGGCACATTTTAACAATGAACTAGAATGGGGTCCTAGACAGATGAACTGAGTTGATGTACAGAACACAACTAATTAAGGTTCTCACTTTTGAAATGCCATTGAGATCTGTGTTCCAAGTCCTTGAAGATTGAAGAAAGGTGGCCCTCCTTCAGTGATTGTTTATATGGCTGATGGTTTATGTGGTGCATCAATATGTATTATCATCATCTATATTTTGCATTGTTTTAATCTCTGTTATGAGAATTTTGCCAATAGTCCACTACTATTGAAAGTAGTAATGGCTAAACAATGAAATAAAGAATCTGTTGCCCAGCTAAATTCTTCCATCGTAGCTGTAAAATTGGTTGATCCTGCCAGGTATAGTAGTGTCACTTATCCCAAAGGTGCTTTTTCAGGAGGCAACTGGACTTTGTTTTTTCTTTGAAGACATTTTGCTTCTCACCCAAGAAGCTTCTTCAACTCTGACAAGATAATAGGGAATGGAAGGATTTCTATTCCTTGCAGACAGCTGGTCATTTGCATCGATGGACATATAGGCCTATTCATGAATCTCAACTGCTTATAAAGATACTTTAGCACTGAATGTGTAGAATTTGAAATGTGTCCTCATATATGCTATGTCGATATTTGCAATCCAGATAGAACTATAAGCCTGAATATGTCTACACTGTTCACATACACACCTAACAGAACTACACGCGGTGGTGCAGTGGTTAGAGTGCACTACTGCAGGCTGCTTCTGCTGACTGCCGGCTGACTGCAATTTGGTGATCGATTTTCATGGGTTCAAGGTTGACTCAGCCTTCCATCCTTCCGACGTCAGTAAAATGAGGACCCAGATTGTTGGGGGCAAAATGCTGACTCTCTAAACCACTTAGAGTGGGCTGCAAAGCACTATGGAGTGGTATATAAGTCTAAGTGCTATTGCTACAAGTAGTCCTTACTTATTTATGGTATTTGGGATCAGAATTCCCATCACTTTATACATCATGTGACAGCACCACTTAAAATGCCAGTTCCAGTTATTATCCTTCTTTCCTGTTAGCTTCTCTTATTGATATCTTATGATTATCATATCATTTTGTTGTTTGCTATGTACACTGAGAGCTCATGCACTCGAGACAAATTCCTTATGTGTCCAATCACACTTGGCCAATAAAGACTATTCTGTAGCCAATCTATATCATTGTTAAGCAAATCACCATAGGTCATTAAGCAGGGACCTTACATGATTGTGATTTCAGATTCTTTGTTGGCTTTCCCATTGACTTTGCTGGTGGGGAACCTGCTGGGAAAGTCACAAATCATGTGACTGCAAGACCCTGATATGGTCAGAAATTGTGGCCAATTGCCAAGCACCCAGATCATAAACATGTGCCCACAGGAGTGTTGTAGCAGCCAAAACTTTGAGGACTCGTCATAAGTATCGATTTATTGAGTGCCCTCACAAGTTTGAATGGTCACCGAGGGAATGGATGTTAAACAAGGAGCGCTTCCATTCAGATAGTTTCTGCTACAATAGTTATGTTCATCTTGTTTCTTCAACAATTACTGTAAACATCAACTGAATCAGCAAACTTGTTATCTTCCTGTCTAAATGTTCGTTTTATTTGACCAATATTTTTTTTAAAATATTACAATACATATTGCAAAATAACTGCTTCCATGGGTACCAGTCAATAGAGGAGCACTGTCCTATTTATTGCACTGGTTAGAGGTTTACTCCCATTTTAAGTCACTTAAAATTTAAATATGTTAAATTAACCCTGTTGTTGTTTTTAAGAAAATGAATGGCAATGACACTTCAAAGAAATTTCTCGTTACAGATTTGCCAACTAATTATTACAGGGTTTATTAGATGAAAGACGTTTTAGAACTGTTTCACTAGGCAACATTGATATTGCTATCAGCCACTGGGTTTCTTATTTGCGTTAGGAAAACTTCATTTTGTGAAGGATAAAACATTAGGATAAAACTTTGTAGACAAGAATCACTGATAGTTCATGGGTGTCCAAACAAAATAGATAATAAGAACAACCACCCTCGGGATGAATGAGAAAAAGATGCTCACCATCCTATTGAGTTGACCTTTAGGTGTGATTGTTTTACGCAATTCAGTAACAAGACAGCAAACTCAGCTCTTAATGTGATAGAAGTTATATGCTGTTTCTCACATTCTTCAGAAATACATGTAATGTATGCAATGAGTAGTAGCCTTGGGCATAGATTCTTCTTTGTGTATCAAGATCATTGCAAGTAGCCACAAATTGTTCTGTATCCTGAGAAATGCAATGAATCAGTACAAACTGCTCTGTGTATGTATGGGTATAGTTCACACAGAGATTAAAAAATGGTGGGAAAAGGGGCACATATCGAAGGCTCATTAGCTGCCCCACTGTACAAATATATGCACAAACTACATGTTCCATGTGAAACAGCTCTGCAAATAGGATGTGATTTTTACCGTTTATGTGTGCACTAGTGAAATTGAAAAGATTGCACAACCAAAAGCATGTTTTCATTGGGGGAAATAAAGAAAAAATGGTAAAAGTTTTGCAATTAGGTTTTAGAACACCTGCACATTTTTTGTCACGTGAATATTGCTACATATTTGAGGCAAAAATTCAGAATATTTTGAGCTGTAAAAAACTCAGCGCTTTGCCTATAATAATTTGAAATTTTCCTAAGGGTAGCATGGACAAGATTAGACATTAACTAAACTCTTATGCACTTACAGGAGGCAAAAAATGTCTTCCCAAGAATTTAAGAGAGATGCATTGATGGAATCCACCAGGAATGTTTTCTGTAAAAGCTCCTTCATCTAAATTGGAAGTGTCAAATGCAAGGCCCAGGGGCCAAATCCGGCCCACGGGGTGCTTAGATCTGGCCTGCGGGGCTGCCCTGGAAACAGCAAAGGACCAGCCCGGGGTGCCTCTGTCAGCAAAAACGGAGCTCGGGAGGGCCGCGGGTGGTCCTCTCAAGCTCCGTTTTTGCTAGCAGAGGGTTGCAGCTGAAAATGGAGCTCAGGCGCTTATTTTTGCTATCAGAGTGCTCAGGCCCCCAAAGGCACCCCTGACACGAGTGACATCAAGTTGGCCACACACCCCCATGGCCACACACCCCATGGGCCCCCAAAGTCAAACACTACCCTGATGCGGCCCTCAATGAAATCGAATTTGACACCCCTCTAAATGAATAAAACCTGTACAGCTTCAGATACATGCTGTTATACCACAATTAATAAAATAATTTTAAGCTAGGACACATATATATTAGGTCAACAGAACAGAAAGGTATTTTTTCTGTAAATGTTCTGGATCCCATACATCTTTTGCAGTTAACCTTTCCCATCTTATTTATTAAATTTCAAGCAACTGATTTCTATGGTATATTAAAATGCAAATATTTCGGTAATTCCCTTCAGGTAGGATTCCACTTTTTAAAAAGTAGTAGATGCCTTTCTGTAGTCATCACGCATTTAGAAATATAGATATACAATAGTAAAATGATCCAATTCAAATCTTTAATATAAAAATAGCAGCACAAAACTCCTTTTCAAAGTATGTTTATTGTGAACAATCAAAATTTTCTGTTCAATTATCACCTGCATTGTATCAACATATCTCCCTACTTTTGGTGTATATATATATACTCCCTACTTTTGGTGTATATATATATATTCATAAATTTTTGTGATAAGAAAAACTAAGTAAGAAAAAAGTATTCAAAGGGTTAATTTGTTCAAGAAAAAAAAAAGAAATACTTTTTTACACTATGTCTTCTTCAGTTCAAAATCCAGCTTTGAGACTGAGGAAGGCTCCCAAAACACAAGAAGTAATTAAGAGGTCCTTTCAACCAGTAGCAGTTTGATTACCAATGACTCGGAGGATCTCTTTGTGGATGCTTGGCTCTTGAGTGTTTATGCTTGTATCGCCTACTTGGCCATCTTCATAGCTAAACAAAAACAGAAAGTATATAGGAAAAAAGTGTTTAATAGTTTGAACTCATCCATATTATGATAGGCAAATTTAAAATTTCATCCTTTTTGTATGTAGCTTTCATTTTTGTTATCTTCTATTAGCAAAGAAAAGAGAAGATGTAACATCAGATTTCTACATATAACTATTGGTGAAAATAGAACAGAGAAGCAAGGTATTATTACATCACAAATTTGTGTCATATTCTGCAAAGAATGTTGCAGTAGAGCTGGGCTGTCAAACTCCCAGCCCATAGGTCGGATACGTCACGTGCTGGCCACGCCCCCGCCGAGTTTAGTGAAGGGGGAAAAAGTCCAGATATGTCATGTGATGACGCCGTGATGACGCGAGTTTGACATTCCTGCAGTAGTGTCTGCAGGTTTTATCATGAAGAAGCTGAGTGAAGGGAGAAATTATCAGCAGTTATCCCAAAGGCTGTTCCAATGATTCTTGCCTTGACAATAAAGCAATGCTGGAGTAACAGTTCTAGTACAAATGGGGTACATTTATAGACTTATCATTGCCTATCATTCTGGTCAATGTTACTGGGGATATTTCCCAGGTTTCTCTCTGTTGCTTCCTGACCAGTATGATTCTATGGAGATCTTTGATTGCTCTTGGTCTTAACCAGGAAGACAGAAGACGATCAGAGTAACAATGTTTTAATAGCATATGATGATAAACTTTTTTCTCCTTAAAGACAAATATTAATCTATCTCCTGGACTAATAGGAGCAAGGTAGCTCTGGTGGTTAGGATATTGGGTTGACAAACATTCAAGATCCAAGTGCTACTATATGGTGGGGTGAGCTCCCGTTCGCTCCAGCTCCTGCCAACCTAGCAGTTTGAAAGCATGTAATTGCAGGTAGATTGATAGGTCTTCAGTGGGCACATTAATGGGGACCTGAAAGGAGTCCCCAATTGGGCATCTTCTGGGCAGTGGATATGTTACTGGCTAATCCTTTTAACTGGACTTATCGCTACTAACATTATGTACATTCTATGTAAATATATGGATTTTTAGTCCTGGGGCACTTCTTTTAAAATGTATTAAACTTCCAAGAAACTTGTAAAAATTCAGAGAACTGATATTGTAGTTGTTGTTGTTGTAATTGTTACTCTATTGTTATTTTAGTTCTAACTGGGTTCTAATGATCCATATTTTCTCTCATTCCATATTCACTGAAAAATATTCTGCATTTAATATTGCCAAGAAAGATTATTTAGTGGTAGCTATGTCAATTAAAAATTATTGAAAAGTTTCTGAAATAATTGAGTCTTCTGAGAAAGTTTAAGTTAAATTAAAAGTATGGGGGGGGGGGGAGGGAACTGGAAGATTCCTAGTAGAGGTGTACATCAAATTTAGATGCACTCTTGAGATCTTGTATTACCATTAGCATTTTTAATCCTACCATAAATCTGAGAGCTCAGAGCAGCTTGCACAAGCATATCCTCAGTACAGTAACCTTGCAAAATATGTTAGCAGAGAGAGAGAGAGAGAATGACAGAGCAACTGAGGTTGATATATAAATGAGAACACGAAGGAACCTCTTGATCCAAGTCAGTATCTTAATCATTAAAAGTTATAAGTAATTTCTTCCTTTTAAAGAATCAAAATATAAAGGAGAACCTAACTAACATTTTCTGTACCATTTTCCATTCAATTGGACTTCAATTCAATACATGGAAATTTCTCTTATTCTGCAGTTATAGTTATTTGGTATTTTCCCAAGGGGGGAAATGACTCAAATTTCAGATTGGACTCTTGCTCAGTCAAACCAGAAGCATCTCTTTAGGTTAATTTTTTCTAAATACAATATTGGCTCAATGAAAAATTTGGCTAACTTTTTTTTCGTAGGCAAAAAGTTTTTAAACAGAAAGCAATGTGGCTAGATATTAGAATATAATGAAAAGAATGATAGCATTCTGTACATTTTAGCATAACAATAAACTTCAATTCAGTAAAAATAATTCAACTGAAAAACCGCAGTACGTACACAAAGAAGAATCTCGTACACACATGATCAGTGTTGGGAACTACCCATATCTCCCCATGTTTGTGCAGATCCGGTGAAGTTATCACTAAAAAAAGAGAGAGAGAGATTTGGGGAATGGTTCATATGTGATGATTTGATGCACTCAAAATAAAATGTATTCTAAATTCGAATAAGCAGGCTGATTATCAGAATCTGACATTCATTCACTTTATTAATTGCAGCCAAAACTCTTATGGGTGAATGTCAACTTTGTAAACATCAACATTAAGGGCCAATGTAATTTATTACTTACTTAATTACATCGTGTAAAAAGCCCGTCTGGTATAATGGTTAAGGCACCAGACTGAAAACTGGAAAAAAATGAGTTCTAAGCCCATTTGAGGAACAAAGCTAGCTGGGTCACCTTGGGCCAGTCACTCTCTGTCAACCATAGGAATAAGGCTATGACAAACCACTTCTAAAATCTTGCCAAGAAAACTGCAGGGTACTGTCCAGGCAGTCACAAGGACTTCACACTGACTCAAAGGCAATAATAATAATAGCAACAATGGCTACACCTAACAGACCTGAATTAATCCCAAAAAGCTAAACAGGACTAGAACTGGTTGGTGCTTGATTCAGAGATCACTAGGAAATGCCATGGTAACAGACCAGGCTGGGAAGTTGAAAAAAGAAAGGAATGATAAACCACTATTATTAAAAACAACTATAAAGAAATGTTTAGATAATCCATAGGGATTATGATTTGATGAAGTTATTATTATTATTATTCATGCTACATATCAGAATGAAAATAATAAATCAGATGACAAAAAGGACCTAATTCTAAATGATTGCTTTATTTTTATTGTCTCAGAATATTGGTGTGGTCTACATAGTTTCAGAGAAAATCATTGGAATTAAAAATAGGAAGATACTCTGCAGGACGCCAGCCGTCTAGTTAATATTTGTAATTAAATAAACTTCAACAAATGAGGACAGGCAGACGGCATGGAAGAATAAAAGGATTAATGTTTCCATTAATGCTCAGATGTACCGTGCTGGAGACCTCAAAACTAACAGCCGGATAGGTTACTGAACACAGTATTTCCTGTGAAATAATAAAATCTTTAACATAAGTCTTCATCTAAAGATTAAAATAGCATAAAGAAAATTAATCTGCTAAAGAATCATAGATGTGGAAGGGCCACAGAATCCCATCATCAGTTCAGTGCAAGAACTGAAATCAAAGTTTCCCAGGATTCTGCTTGAAGAAACTGAATCAAGACTCTGGGGAATGGATTCTACAACTTGCAGTTATGAAGTTTTTTCCTTCTTTTTTAAAAAAAGATTTTCAATTAGTTATCTGCTGTCTTGCATTTAAATCCTTTATTCCATGTCTTGCCTTCTGGAATGGAATGCCTCCTGGAATGAGTTTGATGTTTGTGTGTGTGTGTGACATACTGTATATATTTTTTTTCATTTTATTTCAAGCAATGCAATTAATTTTTCCCTATTCCATATCCAGGCCTAAATCTGCATTGTAATGAATCTAGATTTTTAAGTTTTTAAGAAGAGATTGGATAGCCATTTGTTTGAAGTGGTGTAGGGTTTCCTGCCTAAGCAGGGGGTTGGACTAGAAGACCTCCAAGGTCCCTTCCAACTCTGCTATTCTATTTCTATTTCTATTCCATCCCATTCCACTTTCAGGTATTTGAAAAAAAGCTATATAGCTGACTTTTTGTTCTGGTGGCTCAGAAATGCCCCAATCCCTCAGTCTCTTTTCATGGGCCATACTACAGTTTTAAGTTTCCAATTGCAGACATTCCTTGACTTAATGGCTGGTCAGAGTTACAGTAGACCCTCCCCCCAAAAGATATTCACAACCCAATATTGCAATGTCCCCTGTGTTCACGTTGGGCACTTGGCTCACCATTATAGCTGCCATATTTACAGCATCCCAAAGTCGCGTGACCACAATTTTCAATGTTTTGTGCTAGTTTTTGGCATTTACGTCCAGTTTCCAGCAAAAAAAGTCCATTGGGTATAATGACTTTGCTTAATGACAATGGGGATTTGCTTAATGACCAATGCAAAAGTGACATAAAGTCAGGTCCAGTTGCAGTTTAATGACTGCAACAACCAACAACCATAATTTTGGGCTCAGTTTGCAATTTTAACATGAGGACTACCTGTATTATCAATTTCTATGAATCTTTAAAAAGTGGGGTGCTCAGAATTGGGTAGAATATTGAGGCAATATGTTAAAAGAAAGCAATAACTCATTAAAGAGTACATTAATAATGTGCTTATGAGCACCTCTTTGATATTGCACCTGACCTTCCTGGTTAGATCAAACATTACTGTAAACCTTTCCCTAATTCCACCTCTACTTTCCATCCTGCATTTTCCTTTCTTCCTTTTCCTGGTATGTAGGATGTAACAGATATACAGAAACACAAGTATAAATAAAAGATCTGTAAATCTAGAATAAGTTATACATAAAAATACAATCAACTAATTTTTTTTTAAAAAAAATGTGTTTTAAAACAAGTAAGTTAAAATCAGCAACATCAACAGATTCTTTTTTATGTAGTTTGAGATAACCGCAAGGAAATCAAATATAATTCAGCTATTTATTTTTCTTTTCTTTTTTTCCAGAAATGCTTACCTTCACATAAGGCTATGCATTTTAAATTTCGGCTTTGCAAAAATTGGGACTGCTGCCCCTTTTTTTGTAACTGTGAAAGAAAAGAAATATTGGAAGCATTATATTAAATATTTTAAAAATGCTTTGGTTCATGAATTATTATTGCTGGAATACTGATATAATCTCTGTAGTCAAAACCACACAATCATTTGTTATATTAGTCATAACTGTCTATTCAAGACCTTGCTCCAATAATACAGATAATTTCTGCAGACATTATGGGGGCTGAATAGTTTCCTTTAAGGAATGTTTTTTCATCTGATGGGCCAGTGAAAGCTTCTGAAATGAGATTGTATCTGCTAGGACCATTTATATGTATGTAAATAAAATTCCCTTCTCATGTCCTCTACCAGAGGCCTGGGAATATGGGGGTTCTTCATTGTATCTTAGATTTCCTAGTATTGCATTCTTCTGGATGTTCGATGTTATTCCTGGGATCTGTTGTAGCCATTCTCCCAGTTTAGGAGTCCAAATCCTGAGAATTCATACCACCACAGGAATCACTTTGGCCTTGACTCTGTATATCCACTTTAGTTCCTCCTTCAGACCATGGTACTTCTCTACCTTCTCATACTCCTTCAGCCTATGTTGCTGTCACTAGGCACCATTACATCTATCATCACTGTTGTCCTTTGGTCCTTTTATCTACTGCCACAATTGTGTGGTCAGTACCTGCCTGTCTGCCTGGAGCTTTTTATCCTTCGTGACTTTCTGGACTTAAAGAGAACCTAGCCTGTACACTGTGCAGATGTTCCTATACATAATGCCAGCTGCTTGGTTGTGCTGTTCAGTGCCTTTATCTTATGTCCCCAAGACCTCTCTGCAGCTTAATCCTGTTTAAGCACCAAATCCACAGAAGACCCCTGCTTCTTTGGTGCTTGGTGCCTGTTCTTGTGTTCTATGATCAGAACCTCAGTGTGCCTTTTAGTCCAGTCCTTTCCAGCCACTGATTAGATTTCCCAATGTCTGCCTCCTTAGCTATCTATTGATGGTTCGTTCCATGAAGGGTCTTGCCAGTGTACTTCATTTGCTTCCTCCCATGTCTGCTGCTACCTCAGGCATTTTCTCAGCAGCTCATTTTCGGGGGCCATTTCACCGATATGCTCCAGGATGCTCTGGGTTTTGTCCAGGATACTGGTTTTGATACTCATCAGACTGTGCCAGCTACAGTCTTTGGGTGTTGGACTTAGGGTGGGAACTTATGTGCATTATGAGGCAGCCTCCCTGTCCTCCTCTGGCCATCTCTCACTATAGAAACAGGGAATCTGATGACTGAGAGGGCCCATGTTTGATGGCATGGATCTTGTTCTTCCCACTAAGCTGGTCCTTCAAAATGCTTTCTCTTTCTCTCCCTCTCTCCTTCCATATATATAGCCTGCCACCCAAACACAGGATAAGTGAACTTTAATTATCTATGGAATTGTATGAATGAATGTGTCAGCTGCATCACTAGCTGCCAAATGTCTTTCTAAATCAAAATATATTAGTAGGTAGAATAAGAATAGAAGGACAGCACACACACAAAAATTATGATATGTCCTTGTCAAATATTAATGTATTGGCTTTCTAGATCTGTCCTTCCTGGATGAGTCACCCTATGTGAACAAGGATGCTCTGGGGGTAGATTACCACTGTATCTGGCACCTGCCTTGAGCAAGGAGAACCATAAAAAAGGGAAAAAAGAAAATTCCTTTTTTGAAGTGCTTCACATATTTCTTTACCTGTAATACACTGCTGCTTTTACTGCTTGAAGCAGGCTCATCTTTAGCTGATACCTTCTGCTGTTTCTTGTTCATCCCTAAAGACATTGGATTTACATCAGATATAGTGGTGCATAAAATACTGTATGAGATGTTCTACTTCATATAGAGAATGCAGACAGGTATGAGTGCCACTGCTGATTCTCATTTCCAGCAGCCTATAGTTTAGTAGTTAAGTACATTTATGTAGGCAACAATGATGACCCAATCATACAGCGTTCTAAAAACCACTTCTGTTCCCCATAAATAATGGGAAGTTGCATGCTAAGCTCAGGTTAAAAATCAGTCAAAACCGAATTTCATATCAGCTGAGCCTTTATATGGTTTATATATAAAGATGGTTAATCTGTAGGATACCATACAATGCTAGCCTAGCTAATATATATATATATATATATTGGAACCTGAATGAAATTTACTACCTGCCTTAAAAGAAAAATGCTATTACTGCCCACTGCATCAGAAAGACCTCCCTCCCCAGATTTTGCACCTGGCTGGGTCTCCTGTAGAAGCTAAACATAACATTTTTAGAGAGGGGTGTATTTCTGTCTCTTGTCTTTTGTATCAAATGTGTCAGGAGTCTCGGGAGTAAATACCTCCTCAGACATTGAGAACTACAGTTTCTAGCTAAAATGGCCAATAGTGAGGGATGTTGGGAATTGTAATCCAGCAAACATTTGGAATCTCAAAAATTCATCATTTCTACTGATATTCTTGGGACAGTAGAAAACAATTTGACATTTCTTAATTACAGCTGGAAGGTTAAATGTAATTAGTAAGGAAGTAAAACTTGTATGAGCAGACCCCTTGAGGAATCTTGATCTTAATTTATCCAAGCAGCTCATGGGAATATAGAGGGCAAATAGAATAACAAATGAATAACGTTGGTGTGTGTAGATAAAATGACACGGCTCATGAAAACTGAGAATTTAGCTGCTGCCTGCTCTGTTAACTTCAGACTTCTGCTAGATTAATAAAGAACAGCCTTGTATCAATTTATATTTTACCTGCTGTATTTATTTCAGTGCATTCTATGTATGAAAGATACCACCCACAGAACAAGAAATAGTTTCTGCATTCCACTTTGGAATTCAGCTACTTTGTTTCTTGCTCTCAGCAATTTTAAGATGTGTAGATATCAACTTCCAGAATTCTCCAGCCAGCAATGTGCTGAATTCTAGGAATTGAAGCCTACACATTTAAAGTTGCTAAAGCTGAGAAACATTCAGCTACTTGACCAACTTTCTTCTACCCTATGCATGTTTTTTTCTCCTAAACTTTGGCATGATGCATATGTAGAATAAAACCAGAATGGCCTTATTCAACAGATAAAATTTAGAAATGTAGGCACTTATTTATTTTTATTTATTAAATTTATATGCCTCCCATCTTGTCCAGAGGTGACTATTATTTACTTCCCCACTCCCTGTAGTATTCCCCCAATGAACAAAGGAATTAATATACATCACCTGAGTAACCAAAAGATATGCTTGATAATGGACTAAGGTAAATACCACTTCCAAACATTGCACCATGGAGCTGAAAATTGAAATAAACAAAAAGCTAGTAAATTCTTCAATTGTTCCATTTTATGAAAGATAAACTCAGAATGTGGTTCTTCTGCTAATCTAAGACCAGTTTTGGCTGGTGGATATATTTGAATTTACAAAAGGCTTGCTATGGTGATTACGACCAATCACAAAGCCTCTATTTATCAGAAAGCAAGGATGATGAGGTGCTACTCACTCACTCACTCACACACACACACCATCTGACATCTCAAGATGCTCTTGATCGCCTCAACTTTTACAGCACAAGATGCTGGAAATGATGGCTACTCTATATGTTATTCGTTGAATGTGTTTTTACTTTACCATATTATGTTGAAATGTTAAGATTGTATGTTTTAGGGATTTGTGCTTTTGTTTGATTATACTGAATTGCCTAAAATATTTATGAAATAATAAATAAATAATAGAGGAATAGGGAGGCCATTTTTACTTAGTCTTCTAATAACAATGGTGATAATGTCAACCTGATAGTCATCTTTTCATTCTATGATATTCTACAAAACTGAAGATTATGTAGGAGATCAGGCTGAGCATGACGGAGGGGTCAAATGTGTCATCAGTCATGAGTCTCTTTGCGCCCACAAGAAATCCATCTAAGTACAGTCCACCTTGAATTCCTTCTAGTCTTATATCCTGCTAATTTCCCTTGGCCATTAGTAGTTCAGATTCTTGTAGGGAGCTTAAGCTTACAATTAATCTTTATATCCATTTGAACTGCCTGGATCTCCTGATTTTCCTGGAGCTTGACAAGTTAGGCCTCTATGCCTTTCAAAATATGTTGATATATTTGCTACTACTTCTTACTTCTTTACCTGCAGCCTTGTATTGGAAGCAACCACTAAGCCATTCCTCAGGATCGAGTGCCAGTTTTCAATGTGCGATCCACTTAAATACAAAAGACAAGAGAAGCAGAAATCAAAGGAAGGAAAGCAGTATGATTAAAAAGCGCTACCAATGAAATTAGGATGGATCTGTGTTGCTATCTCTGTTACTTGGTGAAATGAGGATTCAGAGATATATTTAGTTCTATTTTTTAATACTTACTGAAATGCAAAGGTACTTCCATAAAGAGTTTTAGCAGCTCTGAAATTGGACTCTTTGGCTGGTGGACTGCTAAGCAGAAGAAACTGGTGTGGGGTGTGCATAAATTTCAATTGCTATATGAGAACAAAAGCAGAAGAGGGTAGTTTTATATCAGTTTTGACATTCTCATGAACTTGTTAATTTTTTTCATTATTCTGTGGTTCAAGAATAATGCCCCTAACTACCTCAATTCCAACTACTGCTGGCCTTAAATGCAAGCTACTCAATGCAAGAAGCCTTGCGAATAAAATACCTGAATTTTTCCTCTTACTAAATATGGCTAAATTTGACATCATATTTGTCTGTGAAACATGGCTCAACGCATCTCTCCCTGACTCCAATACCACAGTAAGAGACTATCATGTTTACCGATCAGATTGTGAAATTCGTAGAGGAGGTGGTGTTGCTATCTTCTATAAAAAGTCCTTACATCTAAAAAACATCCAAGTTACCCAGGAGCTTGCTCTTCCTGAGACCATCATCTGTGAACTATCCTTAAATATCACAATTCGATTCTTACTATGTTACAGAGCACCTGATTATGACATTGAACATGTAAACAAGCTAAATACACTACTAACATGGGCAGCATCCTGCCAACACACTTTTATCTTTCTTGGTGACTTCAATCTACCTCATATTGACTGGACCCTAAATGAATGTACAACTGAACCCATACACACAACCTTCTACAATGCTGTTACAAATCTGGGACTGGAACAATTAGTAACCAACAACACTAAACAACTACCCGATCTCATCTTCTGCAATAGTTTGAATTTAATTTATGGAATACAAACTAAAGAACCCTTTTCCAGCAGTGACCACAATATGATTGACTTTTGTCTCAACATACACCCACACAAAAATCATCACCATGACGTAATCCCCAATTATAACTTCAAAAAAGGCAACTATGATCTTATAGACAACGATCTCTCATCCCTTGATTGGCAATCTCTATTCACTGGATGCAATACTGTTGAAGACCATTACAACATATTTTTACTTGAAGTCAAAAGAGTCATCAAACTATATGTACCAACAACAACTCCCAAAACAAAACAAAAAACAGATTACTCATAACAATAAGGAAACTTCAATCCAAAATGAGATCACTCTGGCGGAAAAACAATTCTGGTCACGTTGCCAATTTTAAAAGCCGATACAAAAATTTATGCCACCAGATAAAGACTGAATGCACCAATTATCACATTAAACAAGAGGAAAATCTTCTATGCACCAATTCCACCTGCGCTTTTTACAATTTTGTAAACAACAAACTAAAAGACTCAAGGTCCATCCCACCCCTGATAGGACCTAATGGTAAAGACTGCAACGACTACACTATTAAAGCCAACATCTTTAACACATTCTTCGTCTCAGTATTTGCAAACAGCAATGGATCATGCCCAGTATTTCCTAGTCAAACCACAGAAAACTACAATGATCTAATACATATCGATTTTACAGAAGACAATGTTGAAAAAGCACTATGCAATCTAAAACCATCTCTATCTATTGGACTGGATGGAATATGTGACTACTTCTTTAAAAAGCTATCCACTGCCATAGCCGAACCTCTAAGCATAATCTTTGAAAAATCTTTCAGGACCAGCTCCTTGCCTAACCTATGGTCACAAGCCACGGTCATCCCCATCTTCAAAAAGGGAGACCCCAGCCAAGTTGAAAATTACAGACCAATCTCTTTATGCTGCGTCATCTGTAAAGTCATGGAATCAATTATTAACCAATCCATTATCCTCCACTTAGAGACAAACAACCTACTCTCCAATAAACAATTTGGTTTCAGGAAAAAACTATCCTGTAATCTGCAACTCTTACACCGCAAAAACATATGGACTACACAACTCGATCAGGGCAAAGCAATAGACGCAATCTACATAGATTTCTGTAAAGCCTTTGATTCAGTGGTACACGACAAACTACTCCTAAAACTAAAATCTTATGGTATCTCTGGACAACTGCATAACTGGATAGAAGCATTCCTGTCAAACAGACAACAAATGGTCAAAATGGGGAGCATCCTATCAAATTCTGTACCTGTTAATAGTGGTGTCCCCCAAGGCAGTGTTCTAGGAGCAACTCTCTTCATACTCTACATAAATGACCTCTGTGATCATATTAAGAGCAACTGCGTTCTTTTCGCTGATGATGTAAAGCTGTTCACAGACAATACTGCTACCTTTCAAAAAGATCTTGACTATGTATCAGAATGGTCAAACAAATGGCAACTTCAAATCTCAACAAATAAATACTCTGTCTTACATATTGGCAAAAAAAATCAGAAAATAAAATACAAGCTGAATAGTCAAGATCTTGTTGATGATCCAAGCTCTGTAAAGGACCTTGGAATACTCATCTCTAATGATCTAAGTGCTAGAGCCCACTGTAACTACATAGCCAAAAAGGCATTAAGAGTTGTTAACCTAATCCTACGTAGCTTTTTCTCTGGTAATATCACACTACTAACTAGAGCATACAAAACATTTGCTAGACCAATACTCGAATACAGCTCATCAGTCTGGAACCCACATTACGTATCTGATATTAGCACAGTTGAGAAAGTCCAGAAATATTTCACAAGAAGAGTTCTCCACTCCTCTACTCATTGCAGAATACCTTATGCCACCAGACGTGAAATTCTAGACCTAGAAAACCTGGAACTACACCGCCTTCGGTCCGATCTAAGTATAGTGTCAATGAATATTCAGCTTCAACCATAACAACACAAGAGCACACAATAGATACAAACTCAAGGTTAACCGCACCAAATTTGATTGCAGGAAATACGACTTCAGCAACAGAGTGGTCAATGTCTGGAATACTCTACCTGACTCTGTAGTTTCTTCCCCAAACCCCAAAAACTTCAACCTTAGACTGTCTACTATTGACCTCACCCCTTTCCTAAGAAGTCTGTAGGGGGCATGCATAAGCGCACCAACGTGCCTACCGTCCCTGTCCTATTGTTTCTTTTATTTTTCTTATATGTACCCATTTAATGTATTCATAACTATGTATATACTTATACCTATTATCTTGTAAGCAATTGACAAATCAAATAAATAAATAAAATAAAATAAAATAAAAAGATAGAGAATAATGGATTTAGATCAAAGGTAGGCAGATTACATTTCAGTTTTTAGAAAAACTTTGACAGTGGAACCAGAGAGAAAGAAGGTTATAAACCCCCTTTCCCTGGGCATGTTCAAAAAGCATCTCTCTTGGACATTTAATTTGGATCCTACACCGAGCAAGGGCTTTGCTTAAGTAGCCTCTTCCAACTCTAATTCTATGATACTATTCATTAGCCACAGACTTTGATGTGCCAAGGCCAAACTGTGTAAAAATTATGTTTGAAAACTACACAGTCTTAAATTGATCTTGAAAAAATAAAGAGTTAATCCTTCCTAGCCCATACATTTACCTGGACTGAACTCTGACTCTGCACAGATACTGTTTGCTCCAAAGGATCAAAAATATTATAAATACTAATAAAAGACATGCTTTAAATATGGGGTTAAAATTGAAATTGTCTTCAAACCAATAAGAGATGCTAATGGTTTTAAACAGATTGCAACTAAAAATCAGAGAGAACATTTTTTTTCCCTATATGTGATCATACTAACCTGGTTGTTCCAATAGAATGAATGAATAAATAAATACATGAATGATGTTATAGAATCTGGTGACAAAACATCCATAGGAAAACCACAAGCTCTGAGAACAATGAATCCAATGAGCAACAATCTAAGGATGCTTCTAAGGAATCAACCAGAAAAGTGACTTTCTGGTTGCTATCTCCTTTTCTCTGTAATAATGTATCTCCAGAATTAAATCAGCACTAATACTGTTCTAGTTTAGATGTATATTGGGGAAAAGAAATGCCTCAACATTGAATAATAATAATAATATACTTTCATTGATGATCAATACTTATGCTATATTTTTTGTTTTGTCTTACAATGTATAATTTATACTAGTTTTATTACTTTGTACTAACTGCATATATTGGGAAGTTAAGGCAAATTTTTCTAGACTTAAAGGATTTCCTATACTGAACAGTTCATTCTTAAAATCTGATATCATTGATATATTCAGCCAATCTTATTTTATATATAATCAAAGGCTGAGCCAATCGTATATTAGATAATCCAGCAGCACTGAAACACAGAAAAAGTTAAGAATGTAAATCCCTATAATCGTTTGTAGGGAAATTTGCTTCCTTTGAAAAAGCATACTATCCCAATTTTGACCATCTTTCATAGCCTGATGATCTCCACATAAAACTACCCCATTACCTCTAGCTAATGAATAGAACCACAATTGAATAGTTGCAATTTTTTAAAAGATAAAGCACAGAAAAGCAAAATCTACTGATTGATGAACTAAAACGCATATTCTTCCAAAATCCAACTTGTTCTAACATTAAACTTACCCTGTTCACAGGTAGCTTCACAATATGTGATCTATTACTGGAAATAACCCTGAAATAGAGAATATGTGAAACAAAATAAATCACAGTTTTTCATGCTAGCCCTGAACACCAAAAAAGTACTGTTGGGAGTCTTTATTCCATTTCCCTTGCATTTATATAGAGAAGCTCAACTATTGCAAGGTATATTTTCTCCCCCATGGTAAGCCTAGTTATTTGTATCAATCAAGTAAAAATTGAGAGTTTACCAAATCTATAGTAAGTCACAAAATAAAATGTACCTTATTGAATTCAAGGAACCTATCTTAGAGTTCAAAATAAAATGTATTTTGTACTCTGCTGAATTCAAGGAATCATTTTAATTAGTTTTAATCAATATTTATAAAGGAAGGGCACAATCCATCTTCAATTAGCTCAGCGTAAATTTGATCCTTTCTGCCTATCCCCATCCAAGATATAATGTTCTGAAACCCTATTTTGTGTTACAATGTCCACATGATCATTCAATGCCCCCAGTCCCTCATACAGACCATTTAATGCCCCTAGCCCCACTTAAAGGCAAGAATGCTAAATGATTTTCCTATTACACCATATAATATAATGCATTGGGCTGATACTTACTATCTTAGATAGTAAGGAAATGGCACATTAAGGAAATTGCCCATCTTGTTAACAAGGTATAAAATAACGAAGGGCTTATCAAATGAATGTATTAAGCAGACAGCATATACATCTATGTAAGATCTTTACCACTGTAGTAGAGGATGCGCAAGTGGATCTTGTTTGTCCATCTGCTTCTTTATTTCTAAATAAGGTGCCTATGAAATAATAACAGTACAATTATCAACTAAGAGAATGCTGGAAACTAGATACAAACTAGTGTTGATCTTGATAATTCTACTAATCCAAGAAACTGTAGATCAGTTTAGCAAGTCACCTAAAGAAAAAGCTATCACTTTCCAAGCAGCTTCTTAAAAACTAGTGCCAAAACTCAGGGATCAATAAAAGACAATACGTTCTATCCAGGCATACATCTTTGTAAAGCTCAGCTTCTAGGGACCCTCCATGGGCACATTAATGTAGTTTCTTTGGTAACAAGAAAAAATAAATAAATGGATTGTCACTGTCATCTTCTGGGATTTTTTTTCTGCCTTCTTAAGGGTTTTTTGGTAATTCCCCACTCAAATACTAAGTAGTATTCAACTGATTTTTTTTTCCAAAATTCAGCTGACTTTTTTGTGATCGATAGGCTTCGGATGAACTGTAGATCAAAACTCTAGCAACAATAGCATGTTTCCTTATAAAATTGCATCCCGTCACTGGTTTCTGGGATTCTTTCCCAACCTGTTCTCTGTAGGTGTTTTAAGAAATTTTCTTGAACCTGCTAATGCCATCCTTATTTTTCAGTGGTTCGTTAAAAGTCAGAGATCCACCACTCCCGAGTTGCCATCCACTACCAGGCCATGGCCTGTTTGGAATCTGCCAGTGGAAGAGATGATCAAGCATGCATGCATAAAGCTCCACTTGTGCGAGTGGAAAGTGCTCAAGCATGAAGTTCCGCTCGCGTGAATGGAGCTTCACACGCTAGCTCCCTCCCCTTGTGTTAGTGGAGCTTTTAAGTTGAAATTTGATCTTCACTATGCCTTTTATGAGTATAATTCACCCTTACCTACAAACGTCAGTGAAATATTACTTCATTTTAAAAATTGCATTACTGAATGTAATAATGATTGAACATCCTCCTTGAGAAGCCCATCTTAGTGATTCGTTCACAGTGATACCCCATAACTTTCTGACTTTATTAATCTTTGTAAAAAGACATTTTACAGTTTAACTGACTGATATCCCTTCACAAAAGCTTTAATTAAAAAAAAGTAGAGATAGTACTGACAGTAAACAAAATATGTTTACTTAAAGAGAAACATCTGATGGAATGAATGACTGCAATGTTTGCCAGTCAATATAATGTATACATCTTATGTTTTTATGAGCACAATGTTGCATGTCCTCAAGTCTGCTCTTCCTCCTCAGAGGCCATGAGATCAGAGGTTTTTGCTTTCTATTTTTAGTAAAAAGACTTCTTTTTATTGAGAAGAATAATTATTTGCACAAGCAATTGTTAAACATAGCTTGTTTGATCCTGGTATATTTCCAAAATAGTATCCCCATTCCTCAGTTATCTGACAAAAATATCCTCAGATGGTGAAAACCCTTGGTTAGTTTAAGATCAGATGTTGATTATCTCTTTGTCCTATCTGTGCTGAAACAAGGAAGAGATGCCTAATGTTGCTCATACACTGCTAAAACCATGATTGAACTTTAAGATAAATTGGCGCATTGTGGAGACTATTCACAGCAATTTTATGTAGAATGCTTTCCAAGCAGCTAATATATACTTCTTAAAAACTGGTGCCAAAACGCAGGGATCAATAAAATACAATACGTTCTATCCAGGTATACATCTTTGTAAGTGTCACCAATAATGCGATCTCAAAATCCTCTAAAATGGTATTTAGTGTGTTCCTGAATAGGATAAACTGGGGAATGGGGAGACAGAGAAAGAGAAGATAAATTTCTATCACATTGGGAAGAAGAATTTTATGCATAGCTTCCGTAGTACCAGCAGACTTATAAAGTTTCTTCTTGTTCCAACTCAAAATATTCTGTTCAAGGAATGTGCCTCTTCCTCTAATTTTCAAAATATTGTCCATCCCCTTGCAGCTCCTGAGCTGTAAGCTACTGTATTCAGAGGGGTGCTTTTTTAGGGAATTGGGGTTTACTGTGGCAAGAAGGGCCAATAAATCTGCACATTCACAGTTATGTACTGTGGCCCAATTTTAAACCTTGAGTGAATGTCACCACATCTTAGTACATCATTTTGATTGCCCAATCTGAAGAGACACATCAAATTTAGCTTCAGCAGAACTTTCGGTAGAGTCAGAATGTAACCCTCTTCCATCTCCAAATGCTCTCCTGTTTCACTTAAGTGAACAAGCTTTTACTTGCAAAACCATCACTGTCGTTGCAGCAGATTGTCACAAATCTGTATTTTTCCCTTGGCAGTTTGCTTTGGCTTGTTCCTAAGAATGCACTCAAATAAAGAAATAAACACACAAAAATGCAGGAAGGGCTGCTGGCCAGTGCCATATTCCCCAAACAGCAAAACAATTTATTTACTCAGAGGCAGTCCTGTCCCTATTTTGAATGAAAAGTTCCTTGTAATGGCATATGATATCAATGGCAACTTTCAAGCTTGATCTGTCCATGTTCTCGTTCACTGATTTTATCTTGCAACTTATTATCTACACAAAGATTATTTTGATAGGCTTTCCTATCATGCATGGCTCTAGTAAAACAATAACCACACAATGCTAAAACTAATCAACAGATGTATCATGTAATAACAATTTAGAGCACAACAATTCATTTACATATTTATTTTGCCTACCTGTGTCATTTCTCTTATGGATGTAATGCTATCCAATGCTTTCATGACCCGGTCATAATTCTTCTTCTATGGTGAAAGAAATGAAATATTACTTTTCCCCATTGCATGTTTTAAATATATTAACTTTCAGACATACCTCTTATAATCATAGAATTGGAAAGATCCATTTAGTTCCTGAATCCAAGCCTCAACTGTATGCAGGCTGTATTCAAATCAAGGAATCCATAGCAGATAGCTAATCTAAACTCCCTGCTGGAATATATCTTGTGAAAGGAAGCCCATGACTTTTCTGAATAATTAGCTTCACTGTCACTGTAGCTAACATAATAATTATCTATAATTTTATATAGAATATGAAACTTATACTCCTACACCATTAAAAGCCCTAACTATATCAAAATGTTGTACACGTAACATCATCATGCAAATAATGCAACTGACATATTCGTGTCAACTGTTGTCATGATATCAGAAACAAACTCCTCCATTGCATCATTTACACAAGGACTAATGAGGATACATTTCCCCAGCCTTGCTCTCCCTACAAATAGTAAGATACTGCTTGAAACCACATGCGGAGATACCACTACTTTCCAATAGTTTAAAATCCATTGCTGATTATATATCAAAAACCTATCTGGAAAAAAATTGCTGATTATATATCAAAAACCTATCTGAAACTCAACCTTCTAACAGTATGTCTATCAACCAATTGTTTTAGCCCAAAACATCTGAAGATTATCCTCCTGTCCCAAACAGATTATATTCAGATGTTTTGAACTGAAACTCACACTATTCCTAACAACTGGTAATGTGAACTTGGGCTGCTGGAAATTCTAGTGTGAAACAACTAGAACCAGACTGGGGAAAACAAATAAACAATTGGGAACTAAAATTAGTGATAACAAATAATACGTGTTTGGTTTAGAAATAAAAATGAATGGAAGTATGTATAAAGTCATTTTTCCTGTATCCAAAACTCTATCTTGAAATAATTATTTCAGTAATTAATTATTCAGAACTAGATTACTATAGGCGTATGTTTGAAAACATCCAAATAGCTCGGACATAAGACACATTTTTGCTCCGAAATTTTACTTAGAAATATTTTATGTCTTACAAATGCCTTTGCTTGATATTTTAAAATGCAGATGTAAGAATGAACTACGCCATAATGTGGTTTGCTTGGTTTTGGTTTACTGTATTATATGAACACAGTTACTGAGATCTGTAAACTATGGCTTAATACAAATCAGAAAAGATCTAGTTTAAGCAGCAAACCACTTTATAGCTTTGCCACAATGTGTGAATTGAATGTTTATGACATTTGATTAATAAATTGATACCACCTAAATCTACTGGTTTCCATAAGGAGTGATGCCATTGTAAGTAACCTCATAGGGTACATAATTTTTATCTACGCCTTGAACTCAGTCATCTTCCAAGGATGTGAAAAAAGAAGAAAGCAGTATTCTTTGCCCATAACAATACCCCTTCCCTCCAAATACAAATGATACATACCCTGGGATTAAAGGCTAGCATCTGAGAGTCATTAGGATCTACTACTGAAGGATATGGCTCAAAAATGACAACTTTTCTTGGGGATTCTAATGCAGAACGGCACATAGATACTAGTAAGTCTACAACCTAGAAAAAAGAAAAGACAAAAGAAAGTTCAAAACGAAGACTCCCTCTCCCAAAAAAGTATATAAATGATTCACCAACAGATCTGGACCAGAACCTTGTTAAAATTTAACAGGGTTTCAAATACAATTTGTACCAGCAGGACTGAGATAATTTATATAGAAGTTCTGGATCTGTTCTCCTGTAATCAGGGGTGGGATTCTACCAGTTCGCACCTATTTTCTAGAACCGGTTGTTAACATTCTAAGCAGTTTGGAGAACCAGCTGTTAGAAGAAATTACTGGCCTAATCCTGTAAGGAAGGAAGGAAGTAAACATTCTGGGGTTGCTTACAGAAACTGCCTCTCCGTTAACCCTTATTACATTCTTGGAAGGACTAGACTTCCTGTCTCAGGAACGTCTCTGGAGTTTTTTTCCCCTCCTTTGCTGGTCCTTTGCTTGTGTGGAGTGACCATTCAAAGTTACAATGGCACTGAAAAAAGTGACTTATGACCATTTTTCACACTTACGACTGTTGCAGCATCCCCACAGTCATGAACGGCCAGGGGAGGAGATGCGTGCCTCGATGTGAGTGATATTGAGTTGGCCATGCCCAGCCAATAACATGACCACCAAGCCATGTCCACCCAGTCACATGACCACCAAGCCACGCCCACCAACTAAGCCACACCCACAAAACCGGTTATTAAAAAAATTGAATCCCACCCCTGGCTGTAATGTCCCCACTTTAACAGCAATTCAATAAGAGTGTCAAATGATGTGCAGGGGCCACAGGGCAGTGTCTGATTTATTTTGTAGAACTTACTTTGGTTCCTTTATTTGAGCAACTTCTCTTCTGTGAGCAACACATTTACTTCTTCAAATTATTAATCCATTCAAGGATTCAGATTATTCATTCCATAAATGTACAAGGTGTATACCAACTGGTTTTCTTTCCTTCCATGTACACATATGACAAATTTTGGACTCCACCAAAATGTGTATATAATGTACATTTTGGACTCCACCAAAATGTATATAGTTAAAAATATGGGAGCTTCTGTTTATGAAATTGTGACTCAATGAATGGCATTGGATACAAAGTCTCTGTGAATGTTGAAAGGCCGCCTGATCTGAGGCAGGATCTGGAGTCCAGTAATGGACGGATTGATCCCCCAGAGAGAATCCAGGCCAACTCAACACTGGTAGTCCTCAACTTACAACTACAGTTGAGCTTTTGTCCCATTTTACGACTTTCCTCATCACATTTGTTAAGTGAATCACTGCAGTTCTTAGTCACATGGTTGTTAATTGAATCTGGCTCTCTCCATTGGCTCTGCTTGTCAGAAGGTCACAAAAGGGGATCCCATGACTCCAGGACACTGCAACCGTCATAAATGTCAGTCGGTTGTCAAGCATCCCAATGTAAATAATGTTGATCACGGGAATGCTGCAACATCATAAGTGTGAAAAATGGTCATAAGTCACATTTTTCAGTGCTGTTGTAACTTTGAATGGTCACTAAATGAACAGTTGTAAGTCGAGGACTACCTATACACAGAACTGAAGTGAGATTGAGAAAAATGTTCAGTTCTCCCATTGTCAAGCATAGGAAAAATGTAGATGACAAAAATAGTTTTCTCCAATCAAAATGGATGGAAATCTTATAAAATGTGTGAAAAATTATTTAGGCTAAAATTTAATAGGTATAAGTGATAGAGATCTGCTTTTTTAAATGGGATACACACACACACACACATACACACAACTTCTCATAAAATCATTATTCCACACTTAACAAAAATTCCTAAATATGCTTGATATTATTGCTGCCCTTTAATAATAATTTCCTTTAAAAATGGTTTTATCTTAACATATACTAATCCGGTATACTTGCAATCTCAGACTATATGAGGTTGCCTTTGAAGATTATCTACAAATTTCAGTTGGTCTGGAATGCATTGCATGTGCGCTCAGAGGTCAGTTACAGTACTACTATGGTAGGTTAAACCAATGCTGCATGAGATGCACAGTTTAGCAATAAGTTTCAATTCAAGATGCTACTTGCTAGCTACTAAATCCCCTGTGGATGGAGGGGAATATCTTTCTCAGTATATTTTGCCTGTCCTTTTCAGATAACCAGGGAGTATTTGCTTAGCCATTCTCTTATGGTGGGAAATGGGCCAATGTTGGATGTTCTCTATAGCAGGGGTCTCCAACCTTGGCAACTTTAAGACTTGTGGACTTCAACTCCCAGAATTACTCAGCCAGCTGGTTGAAGAACTCTGGGAGTTGAAGCCCACAAGTCTTAAAGTTTCCAAGGTTGGAGACCTCTGCTCTATAGTAGCTCCTGTCTACTGCAGTAGCCAGTATGTGTGAAAAAATAATTGCATTTTTAAAAAATATGAGTTATTTATTTTTGGAATCACTGAATATGCCAAATAAAAACAGCGTGTACCCATCTTTTTTTGAATGTAATAACTCCATGAATTTGGTATTTTATTTTCCATTGGTATTCCCACTATGGCATATCAATTGACCTCTTTAAATTCTGCATCAGAGTTTAATCGTACAGTCTTTTATTTGATCATATTTCAAAAGAAGTTAAAATAAGTCACAACAGATGTTTGGCATTTTGTGCTATATGTTTTTCAAATTTGTCCAAATTCCTGAGCATTCCACTTTGTTTTTGTGATTTAAAAAAAAACTATACTACTTATTTGAAGATACTGAAATCAATGAATTTCTGAATGTTCTATAGAAACTGTCTTGAAAGATTTCACCTTAGTTTTAATCTTGCTCTCTATACAAATTATTATCTCTTCAACTGAGTCCAATCTGTATTCCAAATTAAACTGCGTTATAATTGTATATTCCAATTCCAGTTGGAAGATAATGGACACTGTAAATGGAGCCGAGCTGGGTGTCCTGGAGTGAGGAGGATTGCCGGAGGACTAATAACTCCTTAAAAAATCTTGGTCCAGCTGGTCCGGCTGGTAGCACCTTGTTAGGGCCCCTTTCCAGGGTTACAGGAGAAGATGGTCAACAGTTTTGAAGGCGGAAGAGGGCTTTATACCCCAATGGCAGACAAAACGGTAGAACCATCTTTTAGGAGAAGAGAAACTCTGATTTCAAACCTCCACTGCCTTGTAGCTATATCTATTATTGGAAAAGGCTTCAGGAGCCAACCTCGCTCCAGGAGTCAAAATCCAGAGCTGGAGTCCCGGAAGCAGTTTGTGACTGTGTACAATCACGTTCTGGTAACTCCTGCAACAAAGGTGGAACTAATCGTATCGGCTCTGCCATTCCATTAGACTATTACAGTGACGTGGAGAGGGGGGAATCTGCTGCTTGGGTAACAGTTTATCCTCCATATTAAATTACCCATGCTCTGGAGAGGACTCTGCAACTTTGCATACAGCATTGAAACAACACAGGAAGTGGCAGTTACCGGTTTCATAGCACGATACCACAGTCTCTTGAGACTGAAGGATGCCAATTCAATTCAATAATATAATTGGAAATGTGCGATATAGCTAGTTCTCTTTGTGCTTTTATATCTTACAAAACCTTCAATTTAATCCTTAGTTCAGTTTCATCAAATAAAGTTAGTTGACCTTGCCCATTCATTTAATGTCTTTTTTTTTCAATTCTTATTGAAATCATATGAAAGCTGATCTTTGTAAAAAATATTCATTTTTACTGACTATATTCTTCCTAATTTGAACAAGTCTAACTTCTGTCTTAAGGTATCAGCCATTCTATTTTTCCAAGTCTGTTAATAATTTTTCTTGAACTAGTTATTATATTTTGCTAAATAATTTCCCAGGTATTTAATTGGTTTAACAAAGATACCGAATCTTGTTATTTTCTGCAAATGTTGTTTTTCTTCTTCAGGTAAATCCCATGCTATCATTTGAGCCTTTTTATTGATCTCCCAATCCATATTTCTGTATATGCTCTATTATTGATTCTAAAAAAAATCTTTGGATGGGTAACTCTTGAGAACAACACCATCAGCATATAATTTAAGTTTTATTTTTGATTTGCCAATTTTATTCTCTTGTCACTTTTTTTTTGCAATATTTCTAAAGTGAACAGAAATAAAGGTGAGAGAATACAACTCTGTCTTGTCCCTTTCATTATAAAACATGTTGCTGTACATATTAATTGAATTTATCTGGTGGATAAACTACAGCCCTAAGAAATTAATTTGCTATACCAGGTCAGCAGTCAATGCACCTTGAAAAGCCCAATCATACAATTGTTCAGGATAAAAGATTGAGCAATAACATGACACAAATGACCAAACAATCCATCTCTTCTCTCTTGCCTACATGAAACCATTCCTTTCCCATGCCATTCTGACTGGGATGATAAATGATAATACCGATTGGAGAAAAAACCTGTCTATCTACCCTCACAACCCGGTAATTATGTAAAGACTGTTTTAATTCTCTCTCTGGCTGCTTTGAGAAACAGATAGGACCTTCAGCTTTGTAAAAGCTGAAAAATAAAAGGCTCACATCATCATGTAGGTTTAGATATGATCTGATATGCACCATTATACATTCAATAAATATTTTGAGGTGAAGAAGGGGAGAGGATTCTGGCCTTCCCAGATGCATGCTTATTGATGGAATGATTCCCAGAAAAATTAATTAACCAACCATCTTCAGTTGGGTGCTTTCCAGATAGCCAGGGCAAGAATGGGTAATCTGTTGCCCATGGGCTTTTTTATCTTCTCTCTTGCTTTCCACATGTGTCCCCCAAAGTGCTTTAAACCAGTGGTTTTCTCCCTTTTGTTCTTAGCAGGATTTGGTAGGGAAGAGGGTGAAAGGAGAGTTTTAGTCCCAGAGAAACACAGAAACCTCGAACATAAATCAGACAATTTCAACCTTAGGGTTTTAGAGTCAAAAAGAATGCAGATTTCCTAATGTTATTTTCTTTGAACTTTGCTTTTTTGTCATAATACTGCTTAGTGAGGAAATCTGAAGCTCATAAAACTGTGCATACTCTTGAGAGGGCGTAAATAATAGTTTTGGTCTACAGTTAATTTTGCAATATGCTTTTTTGGTTATTCATTTGTTTATCAAATTTATTTGCTACCCAGTTTGTGGTTCAGGTGATTTTGCTTTTTCCTATACAACAATGTGTGCATCATAAAATGGAATAAATTACCCCCCCCCCCAACAGGATGACAGCAAAACTTTCTGCAACAGAAACAGAAAGAGTTAACACTTAAAACTATTGTTGTTCAGCATTGGCATTGTCCAGATATTTTGATTTCAATTCCCAGAACTTCCAGTAATGACCATGTAGGCTAAAGAATAATAGGAGCTGGAGGCCCTATATCTGGAAGGTGCACTGTTGGGAAAGGCAAATATTAAAAATGTCAAAAAAAGCAACCTTCAGTGGATAACTATGAGAACTTATGTGTACTTTTGTGTCATCAGGAAAGACCTGTTGTTCTTGTTCTTATGCCTCCCCTTTTCTCAAAAAATGATAACGCTAATTAAGATTTGAGAGCTACATAGAACTCATAATAATTTATGACTTTTCTCCCAAGTATTCAGATGGGTTTTCAGAAGACAATGGCAAACTACTGCTGTATCACCAATGGATGAATGGGATGAAACCACATTGCCTGGAATGTGGGGGAATGTTGTAAGCAAGGTTGCACTGTTAGTTTCTATTTGAGGACTTCAATTCCAGTGTTGAAGCAACAAACCATGTTCCAGATATTGCATGAGGGAGTGATACAACACTTCTCCTATAGAGTGAGTGAACTGGATTGGGAGCTCAGGAATTGGTTTCAGCTTTTCTAATTTCTTTAGTGTTAAGTTAACTGAACAGTCCTAAATATATTGTGCCTTTAAAATGGGGGCCAGAATTTAACAAGAATACTTACAAATCATTTCTTGTTCTGAACAAACCACTTCCAGAAAAAAGCATGAGCCAGAAACACATGAATTTTCCCCGTGATGATTGGACATAAGGAGCCTGACAGAACTAGATTAGTCATGTGAAGGACAGTGCTGCAGAAATCCATGTCTTTGTTTCTGTTTTCCAAACTCCTGGTCTTCAAAAGTATTAGCTGTTCTCCTGGTTTCTAACCCCTTATTAGTAGCCTGCCTTTGTTTTGCCTGATTGACAATTTTCTGGTGTTTTGTTATTCATTTGATTTCATTTCATGAAACAAACTAGTGCCTGACCTTCAGCTACACAATCTGCCAACTGCCTTTAAACAACACCCTAATGCATCGTTGGATAATGCATTGGGGGGGAAAAAACATCCCACTGAAAAAGCATCTGATTTACTTTATAAATGTTCAGACAATAGCCATGTTTCTGATATTCACTCTCTTTAAAAAGAACAATGTTAAAGTATTCCCTTTAATGTTATTAATAGTCCTTTTTGTTGGAGTCAATGATAAAATCCTGAACAAGCAATTTTGAATATTTCAGAATGCAAATGAAAGTTATTTATTTCTGAAATAAGTAAGAAAATCAGCAACAATCTACGAACAAAGATTACATTTAAAAATTATTTGTCGTGATATTTACTGTAGCACAGAAACACCTTAAAAGGACCGTTCAACAACTATTCAAACACTTGAAGTAGTAAACATATTTTTACTTCATGGAGTGCTGTGAAATGAATTATATAGTTTGCAACCCTTCCATCTTTCTGATAACACATCTTTGATTTAAAATGATTCATTCAGGGATAACATTAAAAAAAAGGGGATTTGATTAATGCAACCCTCTGATTCCTCCTTACAGTCCCAGATGGGCTCTGACTCATACCAAGGTTAGTTCTGAAATTGTTATATTCAGTCCCCTGGAGGGAAATAAAAAAGAGGATTCTTTCAAAAAGGGCAGTGAGAAAGAAACATCAGGGAGCAAAATATATTTAGGCTGCCTTCCCTTCCCTCCTTTTCTCACACTTGGCATGAATGGGCAATCTTAATGCCAGTCAGCAAGTGTGGTTCGGAGAATTTGAGCATTGGATTAATTGCTCCTCCTACCCACAACACAAGGATACACAAGTATCTGTCTAGCCACAATATCACTGCTAGAAGGCAGCAGTGTGGAACTTGCAGCCCTTGCCAGGGTCGAATTCCAATTGGTGGGAATTGTGATAAAAGCAGCCCTAGAAAGAAACTGACTTCTCATTCCTGCCATCAGCATAGGTTGAGGTTGTCCTAAAGCTTACTCATCTGAAGGCTGCCTATCTACATATACTTCTGATTCCTTGACAAAATTGGCTTTGGAGAATAAAGGCATGGAAGAAATAGCACGGGGAGGAATGAAGAAGTTTCTGTGTGGTGTTGTAAAGGGAAGCTTGGATGGAATAGTTTTAGAATAAAGTTCTGACATACTGAGAGTGCACAGTACAATGATCTCCAGAAAATGCTTTGCTGAACAAAAGGAATACAAATGGAAAGCTTGATTGCAACGCCTTATGGTAGCTGGGTCATTTTCCAGGATCATTCAGCATCTCAGGAAAAGGCACAGATGCTTCCAGGCAGTGAACTTTCATCACTACATGCCTTTTGTAGCACCTTTTGGAGACTGAATTGCTGCACAGAACTAATGTATACATACAGTAGTCTTTGACTTACAACCAGTCAAAGTTATACCAGATCTGAGCCCCCTGCAAAAGGTACTTACAAACTCATTCCTAAGTTCTGATAGGCAGGCTCTGATAGGCATTCCCCACAGTAGAGTCAGCAACTGCTCCACATTTATGGCCATTTGCAGCATCCCATGGTCACATGACTTTGATTGATTACCATTTTTGCAGAAAACTGGCATTTACTTCTGCTCTTAAGCAAAATTCCCCATTGTAGACAATGGGTTCACTTAACAGCTACGCTATTTGCTTAACAACATTCAAAAAATAGGTCATAAAGTAAGGTCTAGTTATTTGATGACCTGCTTTGTGATCATCACAACTTACGACCTATAATCATGTATCTAATATGGATTATCTGATAATGACAGTTCTGTAATAAAAACATGAAAAGTTGCTTTACTCTAACTTTCATCTGCTGTAACATAAAAGTTTGGTGTTTTTGAAAAATGCCAGCTATCCTGTAAAACTAAGTACAATGAATATTTTGTACTAATCAAGAGACAATAAAATGAAACAAAATGATATACAAATTTTCTCTACAAAAGCAATTCATTCTGGTACAAGTAAATTATTTGAATTTTACCTGAGCCCCTGTTGCGATTTCATCTGCGGCTTCATTCATCACGCCTAGAGTTTGGAAAGCAAATACACACAGTTCCCGTTCACAGACAGTTGGCTAAAAGCAAAGGGGAAAAAATGGTTATTCTTATATTTAGCAATCTTCACCAACCATAACATTCTACCCATATTGAGAGTATCGTTCCTAGAACGTCTATGTAATTTGTCCAAAGTCTAGTTGGGGCTCTGGGTGATGTAATTCCAACCAAGAAACTGATGTCTCGTACGTGTAGAACTGCCCCCCTCCCTCCCCCCTCTCTCTCCTAATTTCATGTGAAAAAATATTCAGTTTATTTATTTATTTTTGCCTCTGAATTCCCATTCAGTTTAATGCAAGAAAATTAGCTTTCATCCGATATTTCAAAAGGAAATAAAAGTTTGGTGTTATTCTTGTATTTTTACATTTATTTGCAGATTAGGTAGCTAAGAGCTGTTCTTGAATGTCCCATCTCTTATTGGACAATCACATTTGCAGTGGTCTGCGCACTCCCTGACTTTCTCTATTTCAATCCAATCCCAAGAGAAGAAATCACGAGGACATTTCTCCCACTGAGGCTTTTGGAAATTGGAAATATGAAGAGTCAAGGAAGCCTCAAAATGTTTGGGAAAATGTGTAATTCTCCCCCCAGCAATTACTAGAAAGAGTATCCTTATCTTACACCAGCAACACTTTCAAGAAGTTTTTTGAGAATAAGATATAAAATTCAAAGCCTACTGTGCAAAAAGAGTCGTAAAAAATGTTTGCAAAATTGTAAGGCAGATCTGAGCACACATACATACATAAACTAAATCTCTGCCTTTGGGCTTCTCTCACTTTATTTCATCATGTGATTAGGGGATAAAAGCTTGTATCAGATGGCCATACCCATGCCTTTCCTGTGCCTTCATTGCTATCTTCTAAAATCTTAGAGGATGGAAGTCTGAGCAAGCAGTTTATTATTTCAGTTTGTGCTTCTGGTAACATTTAATGTCTAGGAACCCCAAATAGATAGTGCAGGCTCTCTGTTTTAGACATTTGCCATCCTAACTACTGGGTCAAGGTTGTAGGAGAAAGTTAGAAAACACAGTTTACTTCTCCCCATAATTATGGGAATGACTAAACACACAATTCTATCTTCCCTGACCCATTAATAAAGACTAATGACAAAAGAAATGAAAGGATAATCTTATAAATAAATGAAGTTGCTGCTCCTCACATTATTTGCTTCCAAGCTCATGATTGGAAGTGAAGACCGCTAGGAATTCTATCAGACTCTAATAGGCACAAATACTTTTCTGAGCAATATTCTTGGCATCAGGAACGTTGAGAAATACAGAACCTGGTCAGGGTTCCAATTGTCAGTAAAGAGATGAAGTTTAGAATAAATGTAGACTTCATTTACATCTTTCACTGTTGCTGCTACATAAAACTAGTAAAAAAGTCATGATCACAGCAAGAAAGACTGCTAGCATTCAATAAATAAAGTCTAAGTAGGACACAATTCTACATTTGGCATACAGAAGTACAGTTCCAACTTTTGAGTTGGAAGACATTCCTTGTGGTGCTGAAAGAGCATTCCCCATCATCTCTAGCAACATTTTTCAAATCAAAATGAATTTCAGCTAAAGTGTGTGATTTTCAAAAAGATGCCATTTTAAGAATCTTTTTTACACACACACACACACACACACAGAGAGAGAGAGAGAGAGAGACAGACAGACAGACAGACAGACAGACAGACAGACAGACGTAGTTTGCTCTTGAACTTCGCTTTATCTGCAAAACAGAGACACAGATAATCCTGCTGAGCTCAGGTTGGGCTACTGCTGCTCATCTCATTTCTCTGCCATTTTTTTAAAAAAGAACTATATTATATCTTATATACAGAACTGAATAGTCTACCATCATGATGTTTTCTAGTTACAAAGATAACCAGTGAATCAATCTTCCTTTTCTCTTTGGGTTATTTTTTTCTAAAGAAATGAAAGCTAAACAATAGTTTGTCCTTAGCACCATAGGAAATACAAAAAAATATATAGAAGGAATTTTCTTTCCTTTTTTTCTTTAAAAAAATGCTTCACTGGGCATGCACTTGCATCAACAACTTTTCCATCCATTTTGTTGGGAACATTATCCTGTTCCTCTTCCTCTACTTGCAGTCTCAGTGATTATATGATGATTACAAGGCTTGAAATATTTTTGCAGTGATGGTTTTAGAAGGTCCATTTTCTTTCAAGTCCAACACAGCATTGCTCATTTGATATATCTCATCTGCTATGTTACATTGAATTAGGCAGCAGATGAGGCCTAACACTATCTAATTCACTGTACCATGGCACTCTAGACCAAATGAAATAATGTATAATAACTTCACTGGCTCTCTTGTGGGCACATTTTAGGAAAGTTTGACTGATGCACTTCAGTGGTTCGGTCTTGAAGTTGTCAGCTAGAGAGCTGTCCACTTAATAGGGAAATGAATCCAGTATGTTTTACAGGCATGAAAGACAAAACAGGCACCAAGATTCACAATATTTTTGGGGAAAGTTACAGTGAGATGTAGAACATGGTATTTGAAAACCGAATGATCCTATTTCCAATTCTAGGTCCAACTTTGCACAACATACTGAAGAGCAACTATACATAGCTCCCTCGCTAGATAGAACTAGTTCTCATAGGACATTATACCATCTGCAATTAGACTGCAGCCTGTGGGACATACTTAATTTATGGAGACTTTCCATTCAGATAGATACTGTGTGTACACAAACTACTATCATAAACTATTTTTTTATTTCCCAAATCCTTATGCTCCTAACATGGATTGCCATATAGTTGGAGAAACCAATACAGGTTTGATTTGCCTAAGAAAGGTACTCAAGGGAGACTCTCCACCAGCTACAGCACGGGTGTCCAACTCGATCATGTCATGTGATGTATCACAGTGTTTTTTGGCCTTTGCAGAGCCAGGGTGGGCATGGCCTGCGCGTGGCGTATCTGGCCTGGGGGCCACCAGTTTGACAGGCCTGAACTACACCTTCAGCACCTTCCTTGCTTTCTTTAACATGCTCCAATCAAGCCACCAAACAGCCTTTGGGTGGGCTTGCGCAGGTGTATTCAGTTGGATAATGGTATGTACTGAAGTTTTACCCATCTGAACATATCCTTGTAAATTTTTTTTGTGTGTGAATGAGCGTATGAGTTTCAGTGAAGGATTATATCCATATTTGCTTATATATGATCATGTGTCTGTTTATGTCTTTGTGTACAGTACAGTATGCATGGGAAAAAGGCAATGTTATTGCTGGCTATAGCTATAAAAAGGCAATGTTATTGCTGGCTATTGTTCATTTTTGGTCACATCAACCACCTTTGCAATGCCTAATTGTTCATCTCCTTCTCCTTTTCTCTCTCTCTCTCCCTCCCCTCCCTAATTTTATCTGCCTCCAAGTCATTATTTTTTAACCAAGAAAATGGTTAAAATACAGGGCTACAATCTCACATACTGAAACAGGGAAGGTTTATTTTTAGTGATGGCTGATATAATTGCTCTCAAAGGTGAGCAACCTGGAGGCTGCACTATGGAATCAAACTCCAGCTGGGGGCTGTAAACAGATTTCCATAATATCTTCAAGAATTACATTTTGCCTCCCTCCCCCCTTTTGGTGGGGGGGGGGGTGATTTAAGGAAGGTGTTTAAGGATAAAAATTGGTGACTTAACAATTCCAAATATTTAGTATGGAAAAGGAAAGCAATAGCAATTGTAATAGGCAACTCCCTTCGTTTGTGGGGCTGTAAAAGCAACAAAATGGGTCATTGACGGGAGGAGTTTTATGCCCTGCCTCTCTCATAATACTGCATTCTTAACACGTTTGTTGTAAAGATGTGAAAAAATATGAAGCAGTGTAGAAAACCTTAGTCAAAGCATCTCAATTCTCCTTGATGGACATTGAAGGATAAAATATGAATGTTTGAAGAGAGATCTGAACTCAGATCAGCTGAGTTAGTTTAGAAATCTTTCTGCAGTTAGGAATCCTAATAATGAAAGTCCCTGATTGTAAGGAATTATTTTAAGTGCATTCAGCTGAACAAACCTGAAATTTCATTTCAGGCCAGTGAATGAGCAAAAGTTGAAGAGAAAGTAGCAGAGGTGGGAGATATAGACACATATATAAGGATATTCACATAGCAAACATTACATACACTATGCCACAAGATATGGTCATAACTAAATAAGACAATAATTTGTATAAAAAGTAATTTATTTTATCTTCTCTGTTATGCTACCAAATTAGAATGTCTTTTCAGTGCTATTTTTCCTTTTCAGGTTTTCTTAAAGGTAAAAGGTAATGGTTCCCCTTGCACAAACATGCTAGTCATTTCCGGCTCTAGGAGGCAGTGCTCATCTCCCTTGCAAAGCCAAAGAGCCAGCGCTGTCCGCTGTCCATGGCCATCTGGCTGACATGACTAAACGTCCAAGGCGCAAGGAATGCTGTTACCTTTCCACCAAAATGGTCCCTATTTTCCTACTTGCATTTTTACATGCTTTCGAATTGCTAGGTTGGCGGAAGCTGAGACAAGTAATGGGAGCTCACTCCGTTACGTGGCGCTAGGGATTTGAACCGCCGAATGGCCAACCTTTCTGACTGACAAGCTCAGCATTTTAGCCACTGAGCCACTGTGTCCTTTTTCCAGATTTTCTTATCTGGATAGAAATGTTTATGAGAGGATTCTTTTAATGAAACACTATTCCAGCTACTTTTATTTTGTCTTTTTTGTATGAGAGTGGAATCTGATTTACTTGGTTGACACTTTATAGATCAACCATACCCAGAGAAAATAGAAGTTACAATTCAACATATTTTATTTAGGAGATAATCATTTCTCTCTCAGTCTGAAAACTGCATAACTAAAGCACTGTGTTTTAGGATTGTATATTTTTAAAGGCAGGCAAGAAATATAATTGATTTATGATAATCTGGAATTCAACTTTTGAAACTTCCTCTTTCTAGGAGACTCAGACAAGGTTAAACAGATCCCAGTGAGATGTGGTGCATCTGAATTCCCTTTAAATAAAAGCA